ACATAATCCATTTTACTTCTTACACATTTCGTTTTTCTTTTTTTCCTCTCGACTCATTCATCTAATCACACCCCGAGATATCGTTAAAGTATAGAGTCATTTTACATAAATTCTTTTTCAATGAATTTAGGAGCGCAAGTTGTCGCAATTGTAAGTCATTGTTCATGAGTTTGCTTGCACGGAGAAAAATATTTGCTTGTATTAACATGAAGTTTGCAATGAACGAACTGATGTGTTTTGATTGAAAAACTGAGTTTCTGGATCTTAGAATCAAAGTTGAGTCTTAAAAATCACAGAAATTCTGTGTCCTTCAACTAAAGCGTGTTTATTCATTAAAACTGAAATATATACGTTAATACAACCAAACTTTTTTATCTGCGTGGTAATCCGTTATAACAGAAGTTGAAATGACAATGCACGATGTAAACATTGACTTTTTATCCTATTCTTACCTGATAGATAATAAATATTTTTACCTTTTTCCTGAATTCCCTTTGTTGGTTCTGACGTCGGGTGCCTCATATTACTGTTACTGCGGTACCTATCGCAATCAACTATTGCGCCATCCTGTTGGCAATGACTCGCAATTATGACAACTTGTGAAGCTCTCCTAATGTTCATTAGAGAAAAAATTTGTGCAAATTTCATTTTGTAATTGACTATATCGACGGAAAATCTGGGCAAAGTCTCTCCGACGACGAATATGAAAAAAAGAGAGAAAACAAAATCTTTCCCGATAAACCCTAGTTCTGTGAACTTTGACCTATTCAAATTGACCGTTTCACGCATCCTTCTACGAGAGAAATCTCTTCCAAACATTTAGATCACCTTTGATTTAATTCGTATTCATTCATTCGCGGCCATCTTTGATCCTTCCCTCCTCGCTGGCATTCTACTAACCTTTACTAACCTTTTGCGTGTGCATCTCAGAGAAAGGTCTCGCGAGTCTCAATCTCGCGAGATTTTTCGTTTGACGACTTGATGAGAATTGATAAGAATATCAGATGCATGCGTCCTTTGCCTGACGATTGCCCAGCATGCGAGCCCAGATTACTGCCGCATTACAACTTGTCACGATTATATTATTATTATTTTTATTATTATTATTATTACTATTATTATAATCATTATTTTGTGAACGTTACTTTTTGCTCGAATCCACCTTTTCTCATGATTATTGCCATTATTATGATCACCATCGGTCATGGATCGCGAAGGCCCATAGTGCAAGTGACATCACGCGGGAATGATCTCTTTCTTTATGACTAATATAATGCCTCGATCACGTACGATTGGTCACTTTTTAATCGAGACGAGCGCCGTGTAGACTTAGACGAGTTGTCCGCCGTCCATTTTTCCGCCGCGCGGGAGCTCTCGCTACATCGATACTTAAATACCAATGAAAAGTTCACGTTCGATCGCGCTTTATGGATAACTGACGACCAATTTGCCCTTTGGCTCGATGCCCTTTTCACTTCCGATAGAAATTAAAGTGCGTTTTGTTCTTCTATCGTGGTCGTGCAAAATTTCGAGTTTTCCATCTAATGGCCGAGACGTCTTTGTCTACTTCTCTGTTACCTCGAATTGCGTCTGGAAACGCTAAAACGGGAGAACGAAGGAAAGCATGGGAATGCAGACGACGAAGGAAGAAGGTCACGACGAGCTTTTCGTTCGTACTTACGTAATCGAGTAGCGTATCACTGATACTCGGGTATGTTTGACTCAATCGATCCGTACGGTGGACGAAAGCTGCCGGTGAATTTGCGACACGCATGTAATCGGTGCTTCATTGTAAATATCGGTTCAAGAACGGGCAGGAGAAACTTGATTGAATTAATTTACCTTTAAACTTGAAGAGAAATCTACACGAAGCGTGCTCCTTCGTCGAATAATTAGTGCCGTGACGCTCTCGACAAATTCGGTATTTAGATTTAATTCGGGAAATAATTTTTACCGTCGTAGTCTTCGTTGTTTCAACGACGTTGGGCTATCGAATATTTTTTTGAAGCACCGTGCTACTTTAATCAGGGCCACCAGGTAGTTGGTATCGTAATTTCTCGCGGTCTCTCGGATATACAACGAGTAATTATTCCGGTGTGTTTCGCGAGCGCCTGCAAAACAGAAGAAGAACAACATTCTCGATTGTCTCGTCCTTCTCGAAAACTTCAGGCATCGATTCGGTCAAGTACCTGCTCCCACCGTGCATCATCGACACATCGAATCCGCTCCAGGCCCCGTCGCGACGAGGCGCGCAAAACTGAATCGACAGATCCGAGGAGTCGGCAGTGCGACCTCCGACTTGCTGTGCAAAACGCCACGTGCAAAGCGCCTCGTTCCCGGCGGGGCTAAGACAACGTGCTTTCCCACTGAGTGCAAGGCATTAGCGGCACGTTACAGAAGAAGCCATTTTTTAGCGAGTCCTTACGTTAGTCCCTTAGTCTAGCCTAGAGCGCCCGCTTATACTAGATACGCGTCTCTCACGCTATACTTATCTACGGTCGTGAATGAATGAAATTGATCGCGTAGCGTTGGCTGAATGCGGAATCGGTGATTGAAATTACCTTGGGACGTGCCAAGGTAACAAAGCTGGTCTCGATTGTTGGTTTGTGACCAAGGCGGAACGCTTCATCATCTCGTCAGTCATCAACCATCACCCAGGTCCAGCGAGTATTGATGCTAAGTGTACTGAAAAGTGTCTGAGACTGAGGTGATCCACCAACGAGGGGTGCAACCCCTCCGTCTTTCGTAGCATTCCGCCAACGCACGTCGATGACCGTCGTGTATATATATATACATATGTGTATATATATGTATATTTACATATATGTGTATATGTATACAGGGTAATGCAAACAAAGTGTTACCGATTAAAATCTCGGAGAATAACTGTACTATTTGAAACAAGTAAATTGACGAAAGTTGTAAGATTTCAAGAATAGTACACGCAAAAAAGTTACTTAGTAATATCAGCTAAATCGCGGTAGCTGATTCAAACTTAGTCAAAAGGCTAATCGTTTAGCTGTCACTGATAGGAATTGGCTATGACAGCTAAAATGCATTTGCTATGAAATACAAATATATTAAGTGACATTAAAAATGCACATTCCAGTAGCTAAGAAAATGGCAGTTATCCCTAAATTTCATATCGTATACATATATTAAAGAAGTTTGCCGCACAGCTACAATCATTTGCTACAGTCATTTGTTTCTAGCAGCTAATATTCTCGCTGTAGCGTCTAAGTTTAGCGAATAAATTTAGCTTCGGTAGTATCGACATTAGCTGTCTCTATTTCAGTGACACATCTTATCTGCCACAGCTATTTTTTAGCTCTGGAAACTAGTCTTTTTGCGTGTATAAGATGATTATATTCAGAGTGGAGTGGTTTACGCGTACATTATGAGTTACTCTGTATGTACTACGTCTACGTGTAGACATAATGAGTGATTTATGGATATCGCGGCTTGTTAAAAAAATTAATTAAAAATGTTTATATTTTTATTTATATTTTAAATTGAATTTATGAACGTAATGTGAATTTATGGACGTTATTTCCTAAGCAGTGTTCACAGAATATATATTATCTGGTGACACTCTTATTCTTTAAAGTTAAATCTACCAATTTATCACATAATGAAATGAAAACATCTTGCAATTTGTTTTAAACATTTGATTTATAATTACTTATATTGCAACTGTTTCATAATTTCATTACTCTTTTCAATTATTTTAAAATAATTCACAATATCCTACATAGTTTACATTGTTTATATGAAAAGAGACTGTATATATTATGTAGACAATGCGTAAACAATTCGTATAGTAATTTTAAATGTAATTTTAAAATCTGCGACACAGCTCTGATAATATTACTGTGACAACGAAATGTTTCTTTTAATGTTTATTTAAAATTATTTCAATTTTAATTTTTTAAATAGAATCATGTAATATTTTTTAAGCAAATCAACTTCTCAGGTGATTTTGCATAAATAAGTATTGTATCATACAAATTAATGAATACTTTTCTTGATATTCTATATTTTATATCGACACTTTTCAGCATAAGAATTTAGCAAGATATTTCGTATCTTTTGTTAAAAAGTATCAGGGTAAGTAAAAAAATTCACTTTTCGATGATCTTACCCAGTATGTTTATACGCAGAATGACCGGAGGAATCAGTTGATGTTAAAAAGACATGATTTAATTTAAAAAATTACATACTTGACCTTAAAATAACCTTTAAAAATATTGTAATAACATAATATTATCTTATATATGTGCCATCCTATGCTCCCCTTAAAGTCGTGCAACTTTTTCTCGAATATTGCATTTTTCTTCCGAGATATTAGTCCGTAACACTTTAAATTAACTCTATCCTGCATATACAGAGTGTCTAACAATTATTGACTTACCCATTGTGTGTGCAGGCGGAAGTTACAAAACTAGACATAAAATTCCTCTACCGTTTTGCAAACAATCGCGTAAAAATTTGATTTATTAATTAAAGAAGATTGGTAAATATGTATGTGATCATGCGTGATATAGTAGATGTGTTGATATACAAGCATACAGCGACAGACATCGCTATCGCAGCTCATCTGTTGTATCGTGCGTGATCACTCACTAATCTTCTTCAATTAATAATTCAAAATTTTACGTAGTTATTTGCAAAATGGCAGAGGAATTTTGTGTTCAGTTTGATGAGTTCTACCTGCATGCAATGGGTGTGTCGACAATTGTCAGACACTCTGTATAGGTGTACGCATATATATATATATATATATATATATATATATATATATATATATATATGCACATATATCTGTAGGAGCCTCCAGTACCGCATAAGTAGCGCCACACTTTCAACACAGACTCGGCAGAATCACACATAATAGAAACACCACACCTAGCACCGAGTTTGAAATTTGCGAGCGATTCCCGTACGATCACACGGCGGAGAACACAGTGATGTAACACGTCGCTCTACTGATTGTGTTGCAGGCCCGTGGGAGTCTGGGGGAAGATCGTGGGCTCGTTGTGTGCGATCGCTGGCGTCCTGACGATCGCTTTGCCCGTCCCCGTTATCGTCTCCAATTTCAACTACTTCTATCATCGTGAGACTGACCAGGAAGAAATGCAGTCGCAGAATTTCAATCACGTGACCAGCTGTCCGTATCTTCCTGGCACTTTAGGTAGGTGTTTCTTCTTGGGGGGGAAATTGATCAGCGCGACTCGAGTGGCTGTCAGTGGGATAGAGTATAGAATTCACACGCGCGCCGAAAGTCGCGAAAAGTTTGTGGGAAGATATTGACGAGAGCATATTTCTCCATGTGTATATATCCCACAGGTCTGAAGAAGGTCTCGATGTCGGAGTCCTCGTCGGACATAATGGAGCTGGAGGAAGGTGCCCTGTTCACTCATCCAGAGATTACTAAGAAGTCGAATTGCAACCCCCGTCACAATAACAATATCAATCCAGCCTGCATGAGCATCGAGACTGACGTCTGACTACTAGGTACGCGAATCTATCGTCCTGCCAATCTTACCCGCACATCTCCGGATTCCGTCCATTTCCCGTACGTTTGTGTAATCGGTATTCTCATCCCCCTCCTCTGGAACCGGTTTCCAGTGAAGGAGACGGTGGCAGCGTGGTGGCCGTTGCTGGGCCAGTTGTCGAAAAGCAGCTGCAGCTCCCTGCGGTGCCTGACGTAGGCCTCCTTCACACCTCGTCGTAGTCGTAGCGGCTGGCGCCAGTGTCGTCGCCTGCCAAGAAGCCTGTCCAGCCAGGTCCGTCAGTTACGCGGGGCGTCATAGATCGGGATCGCGAAGTCACGGGGGGTCGCGATCCTCCGGGGAAGCTATAATCCGACGCTTCTTCCATCCGGAACGTTGCGATAAGCGGAAGAGAAAAAAAAAGGAGAGAAGTGAGGGCGAGAAGGAAAAAGAGAGATAAAGAGAGAGGTGGACCGAGGTGCGAGCGAGGAGCGAGAGGAGGGGAAAGAGTCGGGAATACCTCCGCTGTCTCGAGGCGTCGTCGCGTCGTCGTCATCTTCCCCGCCAGGTTATTCGGAGAACTTGCGCCCCACGTAAGGACCCACGTGCAAACGAAGGGGACGGGATATTCCTCGCTCGCGTGCGCGCGCGCGCGTGCGTGCGTACGTGCGCGCGGCCCTAACCCCCCAAACCACCGACTCCAGTGTTCAAAAAAAAAAAAAAAATGAAATAAAGCTATAACAAATGATACCCAAGAAACATCGCGGCGTCTTCTTATAAGCGCCGTCGAGTGTCCCTCCACCCGTGCGGGCCCCTCCGGCTTCTAATAACCGGACGAGTGAGACGGGGAGGAGGGAGCCGGCCGGCGGCGGTAAAGCAACGGGAATCGTACCAGATAATACTATATTAATTATTATCGATACAAAAATTAATCGAGTATCGTACACGTAGGGCGAGGATTAAACAAAGTACGTTTTATGATTAATCGCGAGTGCGGACGAGGACACTTGAAAGACGCTCCTTGCGGCAAGAGGCGGCAAAGGGGAAAAACGGCGCAAAAGCTCGCGAGAAAGAAGCATCAAAGACGAAGGACCGAAGGAATAGACGTTCACAGACGCAGAGGGGAGAGAGGGCGTGAAAGAGAGAGAGAGAAAGAGAGAGAGAGAGAGAGAGAGAGAGAGAGAGAGAGAGGGAGGGGGGATGTGAGGAAAGTAAAAAGGAAGGACGTGTGTCGTGCGGTTGAAAGACTGTTTCGTTTCTTTTTGATCTTTTGTTTTTCCAAAGGACACCAAGTATATAAGCCGATTTCTGTACATAAGTACTATATATTGTATGGTACCTTCATTAAGCGACACGATTGGATAACGCGATTTATTTGTCCGACTCGTTACATTCGTGCACCTGCACACGTAAAACACATTTACACGAGTGAGAAGGAAATGGTCATATCGAAGTCGAAACGGCGCCATCATTTTGCTCAAACTAACGAGAGGGGAATTTAATGTTTGATTTATCGCGATAATATCGCTCGATGACACTGCTCGATGATAGCTGGATACATATGCAGACATACACATATGTATATATATATATATACATACATGTATGTGTGTATGTGTATTTGTGGAAATGATGACGCAACGCGACTTCGATGATGCCACGTGTGGTTGCGACAATTACTCTGCCAATCGGATTGCACCCCCGCCGCTTAAAAGAGATCCCAACGATTAAAATAAGTAGATGAAATGTGGCTTGGAGAATAATCTAGCGTTATAATGATAAAAATCAAAGCATATTACTTAAATTAATCGCCATTTTTAAAGGGAAAAAATTATTTATTGACGTCCAAATTGCAAGTTGCACAATTTTATCGTCATAATTAAAGCCTCGTACTATATGTAAGAGTTATCTATTCACGCTTATATATAAAGGGAAATAGGAATTAGGCGACAGCATTAAGCGACGAGGGTGTACGTCCGTCTCGACAGTGAATTCGGAGGAGAGAGAGAGAGAGAGAGAGAGAGAGAGAGAGAGAGAGAGAGAGAGAGAGAGAGAGAGAGAGAGAG